ATATAATAATATGAAACAGTATTTTTCTAATAATTGATGTTCATTATGAATGACAAAATGTGAGATTGAATTCAATGAATCACTTGAAATTTAAATAAATCCTATAGATGTCTCATATATGAAAGATTAAAAACATTTTTAAAATTTTCATATTTACATAATCTATATTTTAATTTTTAAGATAAAAAATGACATAAATATCATGATAAGAAAAAATTTCTTGTCATATAAATCAATATTTTAATCATATTAACTAAAATCTCATGTGAATGAGATAAGATTTGTTATCATTGATTATTTTTCTTGAGACTATTTATCTATTTATGTCAGATGACAAAATATATCTTCTAGAAAAGTTCAAAAGTAAGTAAAAAAATCACATAGTATTGAGTTATATGCAATAGAAGATGAATTTCAAAACACTTGTTATGAAACGTAATAATAAATTTTTAATTGAATAAAAATATGTATTTTTTGTGCTCAAATGTGTATTAATGGAAATCTTAATGCAAATGACATATGAAAATTGTCTACTAAAATTATTTTGATGTATATTATCTTTTTGATATATAAATAAAAATTTCTCAAAATTTATGTGAATATTAAGATTTATTTTGAGCCTAATGTATAAGATTTATTAGTGCTTTTACTAATTAGTTTTTCTCAACAATAGATTGTATTGCTAAAACATTGATGTTAAAGTATTATGATATTATTTTTAATTTTTGTGTCATATTGTATATGATAATAATGTGTATACCGTGAGAATAATGATGATGTCACTACTTTAGATCTAACAATTAAGCATAAATGCTTAAAGTAAATATATACTAGAAAATTCAACTAGTAAACTTGCCAATAACAATAATAAGCATGTCAAAATCTTTGATTTTGATATACTTGAATATTTTATATTATGTGTGATATTTTAATTCAATATAATGCTCATACATTTTAAAATTAATATTGATATGATAGATATGAAAGCTCTTTTTTAATTCATAACATAATTTGAATTAATAATTGTCAATTTCAATTCTTTAGATATATAGGAATTAGAGTGTTCCATAAAGTTATTTTTGAGAATTTTTACTCTATATTACAACTTAAGTCTTATGATTTAGGTTGTTTTATGAAGTATGTTATTAAGTTTTGTTCTAGTGCTATAGGCATTAGTTAGGGGTTTTTTTTGTACTCTCTTAGTTTGGAGTTGGATTGTTTGTATTATGTTTTTTAGCGTTTTGATCCTTTGATTCCCAAGAGGTTTCATCTATTTAACATTTTTTACCAATTATCAAAAAACAGTGCGATATTTTAGCATTGATCTGGTTAATACAAGGTCTTATAAAAACATTAAAAAATCTTTATTATATTTTTGGATTAATTTAGCTATAATTAGATGCAAATTTGATTTATTTTTGTATGATTTTGATATATTATGATGTTTGAAATGATAGTATTATATGATATGATTTCAGATTTATACCCACAATATTATATGAGTTATAAATCATTATTTCTTACAAGATAGCTCAATGCATGACAAAGAAGAACCAACATCTCTTGCTGCATGCAAATTTTCCTAGTTTGCATTAAATTTATCATTAAGTTCAAAACTATCATTGTAAAAATTCAGATCTATTTAATTTAAAATTATATCTCAACTAGACAATAGAAAATGTTGCTTTAGTGGCAGTGCTAATGCATGAAACTAAAAGATCCAAAATTCAAAGTGAAATTTGCTACAATATTATGACTAAGAATTTTATGTTTTATGTTTAAAAAATGATAATGTTTATTATGATGACAAATTAGTCAAATAATAATCATTCATCAATAAAAATGAATCAAAACATGAAGGATTACCTAAAAATTGGGTTCAATTTGTACAAATAATATAGAGATTTGTTCGTTTCAATTAATGAAATCAAATATTTTATATTGAGTAAATATTTTTAAATAAAATGCAATGAATCCATGCTTGTAAAATTAAATTAAAAAATGAACACAAAAAGTGAATGAATTCTATGAAAATATGAATACATGTCTTATAAAAAAATGAATGCATATGATCATAATATTTTGTTTTAATATGATATGATCACTTTTGTATTTTTTTTTGGAAAAATGCATCAAATGGCAATTTTTTTATATTCGTTATAATTGATTATGCAAATTATTCTGACTATATAAGAAAAATATATGTATCGTTCCACAACAAGAATTTTAGTGAAACAATTCTATGTAGACTCATTGAGATAGTTTATTTATATATAATGTTAACTTTTTGAAAGTATTTGACTCTATGTCATCAAAGTATACAAAAAAATTCTGTTGTTAAAAATCTGATTTGAATTTAACGTTAATATTCTAAAATATTTTTATAACAAATCTGAAAATCTTATTTTTGTCAAAGTGACAAAAAATTGGGATCATTCGAATTTTACTCCAATTTTAATTTCATTGTAATTTATAATATTTTTTCTGATAAAACATAATAATAATTTAATAATAATTATTATTTTATTATAAATCTAAAATGCCTATTATGATGACTGAATATTCTATCATGCATATATCTTGACATTTTATGAAACATGAAAGATTAACAAGAATACATATGATGTAAAGTTCACTAGCATGGTAGAAAGTTACATGTTGCTTCATTTTTTTTTTAACAATTATTATATTTGAAAGAGATGTATCAAATTTTGTTCTAAAAAATATTTTATTTACATATATTCAATTTAGTCTACTACTCTAAATATCATGTTGCATGAAATGAAAGAGTAGATAACAAAGAATTTTATGTTAAACATTTCATCAAATTGTTGTTTAATAGATAGCTCTTAATAAATTTGACACAAATTTAAAATTGAATTAATTTGCTAACGCTTTTATAGATTATCTATAAAAGCATTACGTCAAACTACTTTTCAAAACCTATAAGTGATAGAAATAGACATACTTAACTAAACACTCTCATGAATTCTCTAAAATAATTTGACTTAACGACAGCAAGAATGTTTAGTTTAGCCATGACCCAAATGAATGTTTTATTTAGCAAAAAAATACTGATTGGCATTTATCAATGATGAATCTATTCTATTTTTTTTCAGCTCGATTGTTCATGACTCGATGCTTCCACATTTTTTCTTCATTTCAGAGTTTTTATTTTAAATTAATCTGAGAAATATTTTATCTTAATAAAATATTACTGAAAGTGTCTAAATGATCAATATGTTTACTTCATTTCCGAGTTTTTATTTAAAATTAATCTGATTAATAATTTATCTTAATAGATATTGCTTAAAGTGTCTAAATGGTCAATATGTTTACATTAACCTACAGAACAATTAATGTAATCCAGTTTTAAGATATGAATATAAAATATTTGAATTTCAATTCATGAGGGTCATTATTAAAGAACTGTTAGATAATGTTTGGTTTGTGCCTATATTTAAGGTGGTGGCAACACTTAACTTGAGCACATAAAGATTCAATACTTTACCGAAGAACGTAGTGAATTCATCTATACACGAAACAACGATCCGTCAGTAGATGTTCCAATTTGAGCGAGAAAAGAACGTCAAAAGAGACGTTGTTTTCTCATCTCAGTTTTAGAGATCGAAAAGTATCTCCATTTCACGAGGCAACGAACATAATTTCTCAATGATTATCTTTATCTCCCTGTGGCCAAATTTGAGTATAGCTAGTTGAATATAACCAGGTAATATCGAGAAGATGCCATGTGCTAACTGATAACCTCTATCACGACGAAGATACTTCCAAAGCATGAAACATGAGAAAAGTTACCCCGAGATATGAGGAAAGTGAAGAGATTCAACTAACTCAACTAACAACGTTATTGACTTTAATCTCGTAGCATATATTCTGGACAAGTGAGAATGCAGATACAAATTCACCCTCACTCTCACGTTAATGATGAGATTCAATGGACAGACGATTGTTCTATGGTTTTACTGGGCGTAAAATCTTGCAAACATTCCGTCCTTGACGTGATAAAGCTCATGTCAATCCTTATCCACGCTTAAGGCCAATTGAGTTAAGATTGTCCACTAACTCTGGAAACCTCTACATATTGGTGCCCCCCACCTCGCGGTAGATATGCAATCGAGTGAAATCTGCAAACTGGTTCGCAAGCTGGGGCCGAAACCTACCTGCCCGACTGTTTTAACTTGGTACTTAGAAGAATCTACCTCCGAAAGTACCACAGTAATCATAGTCAAGACATTAATGATAACAGTTGTACAAGAGGAAGAACAAGTGTTCGTACGACAAGTGTTTCTTCGAGTTTAAAGCCTTTCCGTTCGCAAATAGTCGAACTGTGCTAACGGATGGATTGCCAATCTCCACACGCAACAGTGTCGCAATATCCAAAAAGAGAAAGTGGTTTGAACATCCCTTTATTCAAGTCGATGTGCTTGAAAATTTCCGGGATCTGCTAAATTGAAGAAGGAAAAGACGGGTTGGGCGGAGGAAAGTGTCAAAGGAACAGCCGTTACCCAATTCGTGGATAACATGGCAAGATTCGCAAGCGTACCACGAGATAGGAAAAGTAAGATATATTTTGTCCTGAGTGATAAACAGGAAGGAGGAGTAAAGACGGAGTGAATTTTCTGGAAATCGTCGAAAAAGGAAAGAGCAAAACAGGAAGGTGCGAAGGAGGAGTAAAGACGGAGTGAACTTTCTGGAAATCGTCGAGAAAGGAAAGAGCAAATGAGGAAGGTGGTAGCAAAACGCGTGATGAGGGTTGACTTGATGATGATGGGTTGATTGGTGATGCATGGATGGGTGGGGACGGAGGATGGATATGGGATGCCCGCGCTACAAGAGAGCGGGGGAGAGTTAGTGAGGAGTGAGCGAGGTTGTCGTTGTTTTGGTCCTCGTTGTGGACCTTCTGTAGGGTACACTCTCTTTTGCGCCCGGCCGTATTGGAAAAGTCACGTCGCGAGATCTCTCCGAGGGGACGGCGAGTCGGCCTGGATGGAGAGCGGATTGCACGGTGACCATATCTGACCGGCGCTTCTCATTAGTCAGGGGCGTTGCGCAGGGCTCCGATGTTTAGCGACGGCGCGGGCTGAGCCTCGAGATGGAGCGCCCGGCGACGGGGGAGGTTGGGTGGCTCAGGTCACATCAGCTGCTGATTCCAAGGGTGAATGTGACGGTAAGAATCTTCCAAAAGAGACGCAGCCACTTTGAGGGGTTGCTATTTGGGAAGTGGAGAGGAATGAAGAATTGGGGAGGGGAGAATCTAAGGAGGCATGCTCTCGATCCGGACGATAGGGAGATACCCATGTTACGGGAGAACTAATTATGGGATGGGGAGTGCCATATTGGGGGTAGTGTTGACTCACAAGAAACAGAAGAGCCTGTCGAAATAGGACCGGGATTGTGTGTATGGAGTTGGGGTCTTTTTAGAGCACTAGACACACAAAAGGACACATAATTTTTGGAGAATGCACTATTCCACGTGAGAATGATATCACTACAGTGGTCGCGGGGGGTCCCGGCGATCGATTCGTTCGGACCTGGATCTGGATCTGATGAGGGATTGAAGAACCGAATGGGAAGAGACATTCTTCTCTTGAATCGCTCTCGATTTCTATTCTGCTGCTATTTTTGCCCTCGCTCGTGATGGCGACAAAGGACTCGCCTGATCTAAGTCGGGAGCCAGGGGTTCTTGCAACTCGACTCAACCGACCTGCGTCGTCGGTCCCAGAGACGGAGCAGTCGCTTAAAAGGTGGTGCATGGCGCTCAACGTACTCCCTGGACAGAAAAACTCCACGACTACCAAGGCAACCTGTTCGGACATTTCGAACCCTCTGTGATTTGGGAAGTACGACGACGTCCATGGTGGGAACCGGCGCGAGAAAGCGAGTATATTTTCCTCAGGTTACTTTGACAGCTGTGCGGGCCAATTTCTGCAATTTATTGAAGCGCAAACTGAAAACCTGACCGCAACAACTGGTCGCATCTGATTGATTGACGCTCGGGCGAGCTACATGTAGGCGTAGGGAGCTCGGATTGTCGCGTAGTAGAGCCCAGAGCAGATGTGATGGATGAGTTTGAAAGTCGTGTGTTACCAGATCTGACTTTACTTCTACCGCCGGTGGTAGACAATCCGCAGGTGGGCTGAGCTGGTGCTCTTGTAGATAGGTCGCTAGGATCCACTACCGATAGATTCTCAACAGTTGGGGGAGGTCATGTGTCAGAGAAACTTGCGGCATGACCGCTTGTTACTTTGAACCAAATGATGTTCAAACCTTCAAGGTGTGCCCTACTCGTGTCTCCTCTCGGTCCCGCGCATCCAGTTGCCATCTCCTCGCCTTCCTCAACAAAGTTCCGTGTTCGATGCGTTCTCCGCTCTACAGTAGCTGCTCGCCTCGCCCCGCCTCGGCCTCGGCCTCGCCATGCGCTTTGACGGTGCGAGTCGCCTGACTCTACATCTTTCGAGCGGAGCAGTCGAAGGAAAGTGCATCCAAAGGTTAAACATTCTTGTCCCTTCATAGTGAAGCGGAGCTAGCCACCGTAGCTGGATGCACCCTAGAGTTGCAGACACATTCCCGTCTGTACCAGTGGAGTAGCTCAAAGTTGCTTGTTCAGAACACACTGGAGAGTTGGTGTGCTCCAGCTATACTCGGTAATGCGATGAGATATACGTCAAAGCTCGTCAATGCTTACGACAGATTGCATGTCGTGATTTTTCCAAAAAGCTTTGGGTCTCAAAAGGAAAACAAGCTTCCTCCTTGGCCTGTAAGGAGGGAGAATTGCAGACAACCGTGGGTTTTTCTTCGCCTTTTCAACTGCTCACCAACAGCATCTTGACAAAGTTGTACTTACACCAAGCACCAATGGGGAAAAATCGTGTTTAGTCCAGAATTGAGTCAGAGACTGAGTCGAGAACTGATAATTGACACAGCGAGGCACACCACGTCATGACACAAGATTCCAGACGGTTATAATTCTAAGTTTCTACAACAAATTTGTGACGCATAAGATTATGCACATGTCGATTATTCTCTGTTCCCATGTCCTCGGTTAACATCGTTTTGCAGGTGCTCTATAAAAGAAGTAAGGGCTGGAATTTAACGGCCTCGGGGCCCAAAAAGGCAAGGGACCAGGACGACCGAGGAATGCAATGTTCTGCAAGAATATGAGAGCTGGTTGCAGTGATCTGCGGGAAGAGGAGTTTATTGAGCCGGAAGGCCCAACGACAGCGACACGCGTCTCAGAACACTCGAACCCTCAGTAATTTGGAAACAGTTACTTGTCGCCTGGAATTTGGCACAGTATTTTGAAACATGCTTCAGTTGACTTGCAGGTTCGCTCAAACTACTCTTAGTGGAATGGATAGATACTGGAGGGTGGATGCAACCTTCTAATAGACGTGCAAGACAAAATTGACACCGATACATGGACATTTATTAGAAAGAAGCTGAGAAGACAAGGTCTTCAGCTATCGAGTCCAGAGCCAGCTTATGTCAGGACTGTAATGTTGCAGTCGTGTGTGATTCCGTTTCAGGTTGACATACACGACTAGTAAAGCAACTTTAAGAGCGTGTATATTACAAGACTCTTGTGCGTACTTGCCTTTAGTTTCCCCGGAGAACGTTAGTGGGCCTTCCTTAATCGATTGCTTCGATGGAATCATGACTGTGGATATTACTGTCACCATGTCACTTATGAGCCATTTTTCCTCTTAGAAAACACTAAGAACTCGAGCGGATTGAGACGATTCTCAGACACTTACATACGCGGATATCTTCGCAATCAGCACGCACAAGCGGCGTTCTTAGTAGATGGAATATGTCCAAGTGCTTTCCATACACGTGATTCACAATTACCTTCAGATGAAAATTTGTGATCCATGGACTGGTGAAACACATCTTCGGTCTTCGGCGGCCACCTTGCTCCGCAGGCGCAGTTCACAGGTTAGGGCTGGCGGGTGGGACCAAGAGTGCTCAGGTTTACAATTCCACGCCGTTTTCTCTTGTATTCAAGTCTAAAGACCGGAAACCTTTAGGTTCGAGAGCGAAGCAATTTCTTGCCTTCGCTTCCGCCGGTTTTGAGGTTTTCTCGGCAATTTTTTCAAAGAAGTAAGGATATCGAGGTGATTCATATAGTAGAAGCACGGAAACAGGCGACTGATGAGACATACAAAATTGCAATCTTCTTCTTTCATGTTTCCCCTCCGACTGGAATATGGCAAAAGGAAAGGAAAAGAGGACGCATGGAAGTAAGCGCCTATCTTCAAGCCCAAATGTATGTGAATATCATTGGGTACGGTGAGGGATTTTCATGACTTCGCGCCAAAGAGAAGAAAGTCTCCGTAGTAAAACGCGGAGCCGAAAAGACTGAAATTCCTTCTTTCCTGCTTGAATAGCAAATATATCAGTCCGTAAAGAATTCGAGGATTGAAATTCAATTTCATTCAGTCCTTACCTCTGGGAAAACGCATATACCTCGATTTGATCAAAAGACAGGCGTGTACACCTACTCCTTCAACTCAGCCACCCCATCAGTTTCGGCTGGGATAGTCGGTCCGGATGCTGCTGAAGCACACGGGGCCAGAACTCAGTGGGCTGCTCCGCGCTTCAAATCCAGGGTTTCAAACCCGTACGACTCTTGAGGAAAGTAGCACCGCGCGCATTCGCGCGCCCTCTTCTCTCTTCTCTCTCTCGGGACACCCACAAAATAGGAATCCGTGATGGCGTCTGTGCCACTTTCAATCGATGTTGTATCTCCAAGGGATTAATACGCTACCAGCAGTGAACTGTCTGCCGTCGTATGAAAACCCGGGATTAGATTCGCCTGCCTTACAACTGATATACGATTCGGTTCAGTTCGGTTCTTTTGGCTGACTGACTGCCTGCCTGCCTGCCTCTGGCTCCGAAGGTCATGCCCACCCTCCCAGACTCTCGCAGAGCTCAGGGCGGTATCATTATCACATTCAGATTCTCCCTGCTCTCCGAGTCCTTAACAGTTGATGTGTTATCTCCCTTCGGGGAATCGAATCAGTTCCTCCAACGAGGACGAGTACACGATTACGTACATGTACTGCAAGTAGACTTGAGCTGAGGTCAGGTTAGTTGTACCTGTACCTCGGTTGTTAACTCGAGTTACCCACAGCCTGCAAAGAATCTATTGCAAGTACCGATCTTAAGTTTCTCGGACTAAAGTATTCGCCGTAGGATCGATCGGCGCTCGTCTCATGTGCAGTCTGGCGTTACGATAGAGAAGCGGACGGAGAGGCGCTGCAGGGAGCGCCGGGCCTCATCGCTCGCTGGCGGTGTGTGTCAGATGTTCATGAGCAGGAGTCGCCTGCAGAAAATGATAATTGAGCCGGAGAGGCGACTCGGTGTCGAGGGTATTCTACGCTGCTGCGCTTTTGGGTTTGGCGGAGGGGCGCCAAGAGAGCGCCAGCTCTCGGAGGAGCACTCAGGAGCCATGAGTACGGACAGTGTTGGCATTCTAGAAGGTTCAAGAAAGAGATGTAGTTGAAGAAACTGTAGCTAAGGAACGAGCTCTGCACTCCTTGAGAATCATGACAGACACCAAAAGAGTACTTGTACGCAACACCTATCTGGGCAGCCACAGACGCTACTGAGGGAATGTAACATTCCTCCTTCGGTAGGATGTCCAGGCGCATGTGGCGGACATACTCCCAGAGTCGCAGCTTCTATTCGTGTTTGAGATTCGTTCCTGTCATCCACGAGCAGCCTGAAACTTGTAAGTTGATCTACGTAAGGAATTTCAAATCCAGGGACGGATGGCTAAGTATAATCCATTTTCTAGGTGATAAGGACGTGTAAAATAACCATGACTTCGCTCCAATTTGATGTCTTGCACGTTTATGTGTTCGGCGTCGCCCCTACAGTAGTGTCGGGACACGGATGGGGATTCTCTGCTCGACTATGGTCAATTTCTCATGAATCCTAGATAGCTTCGGCACACCAATTGATCAAGACTACACAGATGATACCTTCACTAAGACTACAGTGCAACTAGAGCTGACCCAGTGAGTGCTCTTGCCTAGACTTCAATTGGCATTGAAGTCTTCAGTTGTAAATATGTTCGGAAATTTGGCAGCACCGGACCTCCTCACTGCGAGAGCCCATACGATGTCAAGCTTAAGGACGACAAATGAGGTCCAATGCGTGTGGCAATTTGTGTGAATACTTTGAGTTTGTGGCTAGAACGATTGAAAGCGTTCTAAATTGTCGATTACATTGGATCGTGGTGCTGTTGTGCCCAGACATAACATCAGTAGTTCCTGCTTTGCAAGAGAAACACTGCTTCCGATGTCTTTAAATGTTTCTACTTCTTCAATTCTTGAACATACATTGCACCGAGACACAAGACCGCATTCCTTGAGCACACTTCAATTGCGATACTCGTCCAGGAGAACAGCCAAACGTTTTCCAAATGGTTATGACTCTCCGTCCACCCTATCTCGATTTCACGTAAGCTTTCATGTCCTACTTCAAATGCATATCGACGTTTCTGTTGAAGATTCGAAACCGATGTCTCGTACTCTACTACCACCGATAATCAGATATGCAAATGGTGTCTGACTCTGTCAAGTGTAAATACTTTCAAGGGCTGATCCGGAAGCATTTGTATGCAGATAATTGAATTGAAGTCAAAGGCGAACACCGGCGAAGGTAAATTAAGTTCTTCTCAACTTTCACTTAAGCATGCCATTTAACATATGAGAAAGCTTCTAGCAGCTCTGAAAAGCGCCTTAACCTCTACCCACACACACACACTAGAACTTCAGTATAGACTCTACGCCTGCTGTCGGACAGTTAGAACTTATGGTCCTTTCGCATCATAACAATGGGGTTTCTGTCTAAGTCTTTCAGACAAGAGTCAGTGACTAGTTCACATCCTCGTTTCTTTTGGAACGGAATCGGTGCAGATGCGAAACGAATGGACACTGAAATTCAAAGGCCCATTCGTGTTGTGAGAAATGTAGTATCTGTTCCATTGTCTCAGATAGTGCCCGTAGTGCGATGCGTCTGGTAATAAACAGTATACGCCGAATTTTTAACAGTTTCGAGTTTCTCCGGAGGTGCCAGAAGATATGATTCTTGATTGACATCCATGATTGTATGTCTCATCTGATTCTCTCATCCGTCAGCAAGCCTCAAGGGAGCCACGCTCTCGTGAAACCTCAGATCAAGCGGAATCGTAACATCAAGTACCGACCTTGTCTTGAAATGTTTTTGTGGTACTGTCTCAGTTCATTACTCCTTAGTGCGAACATTGTGGAGTTGGGTTGGGAAGGAGTTGAGGAACGGTGTCAATATATCGATCTTATTGACCGAAATACATTACAATTTGGTCTCAAATCATGTCGAGTTTACTTGTGCAGTAGTATTTTGAAATCTGAGTATAATTAATTAGTGGAACTGTTTTTCAGGCGATTAGGAGCAGCCTTCAAATCCACTTTAGTCGTCTGGAGGAAGGTGGACGTGAATCACATATCTTAGTGAGAAACACGTGGAATGCCGTTTGCGAAAGGACGTAGTTTTTGCGAGCAGACGAATCCAGGCATACGCTTTATAGAGTAAACTTGTCCGATTTTACTCCATAAATCCGTTGACCCAGCTTAAATCGTTAAAATCGACAAACCGTATTTGGATTCAGTCTCAGGCAATTCGGATTTCGTTGATTTCGTGGGCTCTCTCATACATGTTTTCGGGCTTCTTGAGATTTAAGCTGACTAAGCAGTACGCAAATCTGTGGTGGGCAATGTACCAGCAAGTTTGCCCAGATAATGACGCATTTGATGAGGTAAATGGATAAACCTCGGACTCCGACAAAAAACACGGGTACAGGAGCATGGGTTTCATCTCACCAAGCTGAATGCACATCTGTAGGCTTTACTAGTTTAAATTTGGAAGTTCAAAGCAAGGGTCTAAACCAACTGTCATCAGAAATAGGTAAATTAACTGTTAGGATTTGATCCATTGGTTTATGGCTTATGTAACTGATACCCCTGGTCAGTCAGGTTGCATATTGTTTCTTATAACTCTCTTCAGCTGATGCCTTCGGACTGCCAGATCTTTTTAAATGCAAATAGAACTATACCAGTAAAATCTTATATTCCTGATCTGCTTCATCGAAATCTTAGCTCCAACTGGTGAGTATTTTTCAGTACAATTCTACATCAATGAGGACGAAGATATGGTAATGGTTTGGGACAGAGAACAACAATTATGATTCCTTCAAAAGAAAAATTCGTTTAGCTCTTCAAGAATACTTGTCACAATTTTGTGGCTGATAGTGTTGAGGAGTTAAAGTAATGAACCCGTCAGTTATGATCTAATCATATATGGAGGTAGGGGAAGTCGTAAACAGGATCAGATTGAAAATTGGTTTGTTTGTTGTTTCCTGTGAAGGTTTTTACTCGTCACAGGGTGAGATCATTGCGAGTTGGGTCCTTGAGCACGTGCTCTCAAATTCAAGGTAATGAATTGACCTTGGCTGATGGAGTGGTGGATCGAATCCAGTCGATAAATATTCTAATGTGTAAATAAAGGCTTCAAGAAAGTCACTACAGCGCATAGCTGGGTGTTTTCATGTACTTGATTTTCCTATTCTTCTGTTCACGTATTCCCACGACCCTTTCTTTCCAAGGTACGGGATCTGCTGTGAATTCAACACCTTTGAGAGCAGGTAAGCTGCTGTGTGTAAGAAGAGAGAATACATGGTAAACGATCCAGGATTTATAGCCCGATCATGCTCGTTCATCTTTGTTAGTACGTTGTATGTACAAAGGTTTCTCTCATTCGGATGTGTGAGAAAGGATGATTACAGATGTTGCCGGAGCTAGTTGTATTTCGGTGAGGAATAAAAACTGCTAAATGATATCTAGTAATTCGTAAAGTAACAGTAACGCGTCTTCATAAATTGTAAACGTTGTATCTAAAATTTGAAGTTTTGACATTGTGAGTCCTTCGGACTCACAATGCCAAAAATATTAAATGTCAACATTTTAGTGTTCAATATTTTGCTCTTTATTGTAAGGATTCGTTTCAGATTTCCATGGAAGTTTCACCTTCTAGTGATGTGCGTGCAGAGTTGTAAAGCCCACTTGAATCTATGAACCCTTCTCGGATGAAACTGATCCAAGGTGATTCAGCTTGAAAGTGTTTTCACTTCTGCTCTCCATTGTTCTATCACATCTCCGGAATTAATTCAAAAAATACATGACAAATAAGGATTTGGTTTTCTCTCTGTTCGGTGAGTTGGCATCAATTGATGGAGCCTGTTGTGTGAATGTTTTCTTGTCTATATTTATGTTCAGGCTGTAATTTGACAAACCGTGTACGATATCAAACACATGTTGATCGGATTTTGCGAATACATCATGGCCATACAATTTCAAAACCATATGATATGGGGAAGAACAAACTCTTGAAACTCTTTCAAATAGATTTGTAGAATTAAAGGAAGACTTCTTGTACTTCTTGCGTAGGTGTTTCAAGACCCAGTAATACTAATAAGAAGTCTATATGAACAGTCATTAAGATGTTGCTTCGTCTGCAAGGTCGTTACGACCAATACCATTTCAAATACCCAATTCCTTGAATCACGTCGATTTTTATCCAGCGTCAAAGCTCGGAATGCAGCCTGTTTCCACATCTGGCTTTGTTTGCTGTTGTTGTGAGTACTGTTAATGTAGAGTCAAAGCTGTAGGCACAACTATCACTCCAGTGAGCGTAATGGTACAAATTCTGGCAACTAGATCATGATAAATATTCCAGAGTTCTGACAAGTAATGGCAACTCTTAGTGTCACGTCAGAATTGTGGGTAGAGTTACATCCAGATCCAAAGCGTGAAATGGAAAGCTGTTCCATGCTGTTGCTTTGCTTGCTATGGTTACTGCCACATGTTACGTTGTCTGCCACGACTACAAGTTCTTGCTTCCACATGATAATTACTAGGAGAATTCCGTTCAACGAGTCCAACATCTCATCTTATGCGACAATCTATTCTTGTAGGCTTGTGGCCTAAATTCCCACGTGAAATTTGCGTCGCTAAAGTACATTGCAAAAGATTGGCTGTCTTCTGTAATACAATGCCAGGAAGAGATGTATTGTAGGTGAGTTGTGAGAAAAAGAAACAGAAATGTCCAGAAAGAAGGAGCTCGAGTTACTGATTGTTTTTCGAGATCGACGATCAAGCATTCAAGAGGAAGGAATCCGATACGAGTGCAGAAAAGTTCGTTGTCATGACAGATATCGATCATGAAAGAGTCCTATTTACTTTTGCAAGCAAAATCCAGGTGGAAACGTCTAAATTCACTACGGAGAGGAACAGAACCCGGCGACAAGAACCATGAGAAATCCAGACTGCAGATTCACATGCATTTCTAAATCTGGATGTCTTGAGAATGTAGTTGGGAATGTAGTCTCGGGGCATCAAGCAGGGTTCCAAAGAACGGTCATATCTGAAACATTGATGCTCTCTGTTGATCCAGTGTAAGCATGATATAAAAGCTGCTAAGGCAGGATCATTGGCAGTACCATACAATTTGAGCCATCATGCCCTTGTCGGACGAGTTGCAAACAGTCAGGCAAACAAAGGCACTCAGGTTTGAACCTTTGAAGTGGCTGGTCGGAACGTTCGGCTGGGTTACATGTGAACCTCTTTTTTCCGCTTGATTTTATCCTGATTCCGTATAGTCAGAAGGGAGGGTGGAATGTATGCACCGAGTACAATGAGAGTACAATCGTCGCCTGCACCAGCTTCGAATCGGCAATCTACACGCACCTCGCGGGATGACACACGGACGTCACCAACTTGAGCCCAGTACGAACAAAGGACGCATGTTCAACCTATCCACTCTTTCCGTGCTCTAAGTGAGAACTTTACCAGCTAAGCTAGGTTATGAGCTAATGAGCTAATGAGCTAGTGGCAGCTGTAGATTTTCTGAACATGCTGTCAAACAGAAATCCCTACCACAACATCTTGTCAGTAAGATGACTCCTCTTCATTTTCGTGTCCATGATGCTGCGGGCGCTCCAGATTCTTGAACATGTAGCAATTCTAACCTTCGTACATTCGAATTACACATTCTCTTCTAAAAGCTATTGTTGTAAGATTGCCTGTCTTGATTGAATCGAGGTGAGCATTCTGTGTCGATCTCTTGGAACTTGTCCCTCACACTAAAGTGCAGAGTCTTGAATGAAGTCATGATTGAGAGCTCAGCAGGAGTTTTTCATAAACTGTACCCTGGTTTACATAATCAACGTCAATTGGACGTATGATGTAACAATGGGGTGCCTACGGTCCATCCATGGTCCCATGATATGCTGCTGTACATTTATAAATCGAGAACCTGCATTAATCGACTGCAGAGGTGTTGGTGAGAATTCAGGTTTATGATCATTTTACTGGAGCTGTACCGTTCCAACAGCTCTCACAAATTGTAAAGAGCTTTCATGAGCTCTACGGTATGTCCGAAAGATGCTGCACTTGAATGTTTTACAGGTAATGACGATCAGCACTTTACGTCTTGTGCCTTCTTGTAGGTTACTAGAAGTTGATGTAAGAGTGTCTCACGATACAATGCCGTAGCACCTGATAATAGGAATTGCTGCATCTGTACATGTTTGTTCATCAGGTACAGTCAACAGGGGCGTTTTGAGAGAAGGGACTGTCGAAGTACTTACTAAGTGCACTTAGCCTCATGTTTGTCGAAATTCCGGTCCGCTCCCCCGCTCACAGATGGCGATCTACTCCACTTTTTGAACCGGAAAGCCTGATAGGCTGGCTGCTTTCTTCTCCAAATTTGTTAAAGACGTGACATAGAAGGCTCGAAGAAAGGAGGCCTGAATTTTGAAAGGAGACGTGTGATTGACATCTTGTTTCGCCTCGTCCTCCTGCTAGATTCTGACTGTAAGGAACTATCATATGCCGCTGGTAAGGCGTTCAGAGGAGAGAGTGATAAATCACACTGCATGCAACATCATCACTCATGATTCGTTGACCCCTTGATGGACATCAGTCGACCTAGATCTTTGCATTGTACTTGTACCTTCTGAAATTCATGCTGGTGAAAAGATATGATGGCAGTCGAGAAATCATGCATGCTTTCTGGGGCTGGTGCTTCTTCTTCTTCTTCTACTTCCTCCCTCGCGTCCTCCTCGAGCTTTTCCTCGTCCTCATCTAGGACGACATTGCATGCCCATCACGTGGTTTACATTCCCAGGTAATCGACTGATGTTACTCGTGGTGCTTTCTTCAAGTCCAGTCAATTCCCACCTAGCTCGTCGACCCAGCCGTATACCATGGATAAAAGCAAAACCAGCCCACCTGCTGCTGCTGGTAACTACCAAACGAGTACGCCACCACTGAAATCCAAGAGCTTAAAGGTGCTGCGGGTACATGTACAAAGAACATGATTCAAGTATCCAACTGCACTATGACAACACATTCAACGTGACCCTTCCATGTTCTGGACATGAATCCTTATGTGTACTCGAGTATCTTCCAGACATAACTTGCATTTTTTTATAAGCCCTTTCGACCACGTGTACATCTCGAGCCTTTGACCCGAGTGTGGTACGATCCTGATACTCTCTCATCAAGCACTTTCGAGTTCCATGTGACAGCCAACACTTTGATCTCATCTCATCACATCGTCTCACCTCACCTTGCATCAGCAGCAGAAGGCCGAACATTTACTACCGCCCATATCTCTCTCTCTCTCTCTCGCCCTTTCGACTAACTCTTACTACGTTCATATCATGCTCATAATCGTCTTTCTCGATCTCTGCCTTCGCAGAGTCGTTCAAACTGGCAGTCAGACAGACACATGAGGCTGAACCACCTGCTCCTGGCCATGACCTCAGGTGTGACTTCACCTCGACTGTGCATCTACAGGTTACTTGCTTTTATCCTTACCATTGCATCTTGCGGTGCATTCTTACCCAAAATATGCGTCGAATGTACATCTCCCCACGCCAGCCAACTTTAATCGGGGAAGGCATATCTGTAAGATGAAATTTTCTTGTTACAGCACATGCGTGTTCGACTATGAATGAATGTGTGATTGTTGTACAAAATCTCGCCACATTCAGTCGTTTATACGGACGAACAACAGTTTGCGATTCCTTGTATCCTGCAAGCTACAGTCTTGGTACGTGGGGTTAGAAAGAGATTCATCAATTCCATTAAGTTGCTGAAATAAGGCTTGCGTACATGAACTATTGCATCAGCAACCATCGAAGGCTGAGATCCGAGGAGTCTCTTCTTGGCCAACATCCCCAACATTCAGTGCTACAGAGAAAGGTGGACGGATAAAGGCCTTCAGACTCATGCTGTACTTGTCTTTCGTATCTGTATGTTCAAAACTGGATTCTTCCTCAATCATCAGGCTGGAAAAAAGTCACTTATGCAGCCCCGGCAGCTAAGAGACTTGAACGAAGGCAAGAAGAAAATCGAGTATACAACTAAAATACTAAGGCCTACGACTATCTTCAACCAGCATCAACGATCATCCCACGACATACGCAGGTTGGATGATTGACTGGCTCAATGAAGCGTCACCATGTCTCATGATCTGCTCTACTTCTACTCAATGGGCTGTACACAGGAAAAGGTGACAGCTTCTCAGTTGCAAGAAACCGATGTTTCGGTTTCCAGACAAGGACAAATGATGAGAGAAAGGCAGGGCATCACATTCTTCCCCGGCTTAAGCAATGAAGGGCTGGAAAAATGGGGAAAATGGGACAGTATCAAGTGATATTTATAGTCTGGTGGAATCTAAGGTCTTATCTCCTGTTTGAGTATGGCAGGTTCTATGTGTGCGTTCTCCTTCTTCGTACACGCTTTCAAGCTGGCTACTGCAGTCCATTACCAACACACGACGGCATTACCTTGAAATAATAAGATAAATTTGTACCAAGTTTTGGTTATAAGTGATCACCTTCTCATATGCTTGGATTGAAATTTTGTTGATAAAACAATGTATTCTGCTTTGTGGATAGGAGCACTATACATTGTCAAGGTATGTCCGTTGTACGTCCGGTTCAATATCATTGAATATTTAACCGTAACCAGGAGAGGATATTAGTTGAAATATATACGCTTGCTCGGATTATAACTCCAATTAATGAGTTGTGTGAGTAAGATTTAAAGACATGGATGCCAAGCGCCAAAAGAAAAAAACTCGAAAGGATGTGCACCAATCTTTTCTACATATGCTTTCTATAGCTCTTCTCTCAAAGCAGTTCACTCTGAGCATTATGTATATCAAGTATATTCTTCTTACATTTTACTCTTTCAGCTAACATTGTCTGAATAAATAAATACATAGTATTTTTATGTAAGGTTTGAAAACGCTTAACATGTACGTACAAAAAATTTATTTACGAGTGTATACATGTATATACATTATTGTGTCTTGTTTTGTGTCAATTAAGATTCACATCTCATATCATATGCACTCGGAGTCATGAACAAATGTTTTTTAAATTTGAAACCCTGCTCCATGTCCGTGGTATCTCGACTTGAAGTTTTTAAATCCAGTTTGTGAAGTAATAAGAAGGAATATGATACGTGTCTAGATGGTACTGTCGATTGAAGAGACTAAATATGCTTGAAAAATCCTTTGATAATACGAGATTAATCATACATCAGACAAATCTTCATTGAACAACTGTGAAAAGGCCTACGTACATCTAATCTTCACGTTTTATTATATTAAAGTCATGCTAACTAGAGCTATGTCTCGAGCCGGGTTTTCCCAATTTCTGCTCATGAGTACCAATAAATTGTTTCTCTTCCTATAACTGATACTACTGATATTTTAGAAACACGTGCAGCGACCCGTATTAAATAACGGGCTGGACATCATCATCAACGTCTTATGGAAGTTGACAAGGGAAAGACAAAGTTGTTATTATTTGTCGCACTTCACGATTTCCATAGAAAACATTCATGCTTGTGTTGTGATGAAAAAAAATCTAATGAGTAATCTCACTTCTATTCCTCAAATGATTTAGTATCACATTGAGCAATGATTTAGAAATTCAAGAATGCATTGAATGGATCAAGAAATATTATCACTTGTACATATGTTTGAATCCGGAAGTGACAACATATGTCTCAGTAAATTCCTGTTGGAAGGAGAGTGTATGATGAGAAGATCTCCAACACATGGTCCATCAAAATAAATAAACAAATAATATTCTTAATGAGAGTGGAGGGTTTACGTGAAGGTAGAGAATAAAGCCTCTGGCAGTGCCTGAGTAAAACAAGGTGTCCAGCAGAGTTATTGAAGGTTTGGATTTACTTTGAAGGAATCGAGGAGAGAATTTGCGATCCTGATCGTCGATACAACTGCAAGCGATGTTAAACAGATAAGGTAGAGGCATCATTCGTGGCAAGAAAGAGATCTCAACCGTTGAACCCAATCGGGTATGGTCGCTCCGTAGCACAGCTCCTGCCGATTTGATCTGGACCGATAAAATGACGCCAGCACGATGATACCATGCCAAAAGAAGAAATCTTCCGCAGCCCGTCGGATAATAAATCCAAGGATCAACAAGCTATCCACGTAAATGCATAGGGACCAGACTCCCTGGCCAATTAGAGTGCTGTAAAGACAGAGAACTAATAATTCTTATAATTACGCAGCGCAGACACATGCCTCATATGTGCCGTGGATGAGGTCATTGTATCCGACACTCGATATCGCTCGTCATGCCTGCGTCATTCCTATTTATTACTTTCATCGCATCCTTCCTCTGTTGTCTTTTACTTACGCCGCCCCTTCTTGTCTTTCTGGCCGGGCGATCTACAGTACATGTTCCTGTATCTTCATCGCCTTTACTTACCACGTTAAACCCTTCACCGACCGACCGGGCCGTCTGCAGCTGACCCCACCTCTAACCACGTCCCTGACCATGGTCTAACCCCCCACCCCCCCGGCCTGCACATTGGGCTCCCTCCGTATATACGTTCGGTCCCCCCACGGCCCGTCGATCTCGATAGGGACTTTAAGGAGGTTCCAATCACGAGATTACGTCCGGAACTGGAATCAAGTCCTGCTCTCTTTTCAGTAAAGGACAGTACTGAAGTTGAAAGACCAAAGCGAGAGGCAAATGCGGCAGGGAGAGGAATGGTCAGGGCAATTAAGGAGATCAGGTAGTAGTAAAACAATCATTTGCGCTGATGCAAATGAGCTTCCCTTTGCTTGAGATGTACCCCGTTTTTCAACCACTTTTCTCTTTTCTTGCAGGTAAGAAGGAATATTGTCAGGCATGGCTACATTAGGGCTGATTGGTCGTCGAGCAGTGACTGAAGAGCCATTCTTATCGAACGAAGGCGAGATATGGCTTTGGACACCCGAGGGCGTGGCGTATTAAAGTTCGAGCTTGGAATTCGGTTGAAAAGGCACTGTCTGGGCTGGACTCGATGGGGACTCATCCACCATGTTTACCACCGTTGAAGTTCATCGACGTCTATGAACTGTATTTCCAATTTCGCTTGAAGTTTGGATTTGACCTTTCCTAGTTGCTACCTTTCGGAGTAATCTTCATCGCCGAAATAGATCCGGGGGCGTTAAAGGTAGTGTATGTATGTAGTTCCATTCCATCAAGCAAATCAGCGACTTGGTAGCGAGTGCACTTTCCAGTAAAAGCTGACAAAGAGTCAGCTTTTAGATGATTCTCGTCTTGCAGTTCTGTATGTCAACAACTGCAGGTTCAGAAGGTAAAAATAATCATAAGCTGTTTTACGATCCTCGCTACCAGTAGAGCCCTCAAAAGCTTATTAAAGTTCGGTGATTTGACATCAATAAGCTCAAAATTATGAAGAGTGCAGCCTGAAAGTTGCTAGCAAGCCGTTAGGATTTGGTTAACTCAAACGACTCATTCCCAGATTATGCTTTATCCGAATCCGTTACGAAAAGACTCTTAGTCTCATGTTACCTTATACTTCAGGATTGACATTATTCTTCATCATAGTGTTCCGGTGCACTTTTCGTCTCCTCAGTCATGATGGATTACAGAGATTCTAGTCACCTGTTATCTCCTTCTTGTTGTCGAATTTGATTTATTGTAAGTCATATGTGAATGAATGACATCCGATAAAAGAAACACGCCTAACGACATGGGGCTCGGCTCTGAGTAGTTTGTCGTTTGGAAGTATTTTGCAGCCTATAGACTTAGGAATGTCCTAGCGAAGCTTCGATGTGGCGTACAAGTGTTCAAATGCTTTTTGACTTTTAACAGATTTGTTAATCCAAGGGATCGTTCGTCTGATCTAAGGTTTCTAAGTCTCACTTCACATACACCTTTGAAGATCGGAAAAGATCGGTATCCACTTTGACTTCGGGTGAGAATGCCATGACAAAATATTGAAACCTATCCAGGAGTGAAACGACTATGGTTTGTTAATCACTTGTTCGAAGTTAGGGAGTTGAGTTTGGAGAAAGAGAAAATTGCGATGCAAGGGAAAAGAGAACTATGGCAAAGCCGCCCAAGAGAGTACAAAGCCGATGCCAAGAAAGACAGGGAAAACATATCTTCAAGCAAAAGGATAAACGGATTACCGATCACTCTCCTGATAAATCTGCTTAGTGCATGAGAAATTTATTACACCCATATCTTACCTACTGCTCCGCGAACATTTCCTTCACGGGATTTGGAATATCTTATGGCAGATGAAGATCTCTAACATGCATCCACTCTCATGGAAATATTTCTATATAAACTCGAAATAGAATGACTTTTAAGTATATGTTATCCTGGTTACATTCCAAGATAAAGTTGTACACAATTTCTTACAAAACTCTCTGTATCACATCCCAAAGCCACAGGCAGCCCCATGACCACGGGAATAAGGACATGCTTTTCTTGTAAACATCTGTATTTGGTGTCCTTAACATTCTTAACTCCTCCAACGGCACTGACAAACATATATTACATTTGTGTTACACAATGGATTTATCATGACCACGTTTTACTAAAAAATATGATACTCGTCTTAGATATACGGATCGCACATATGATATTGATGTGATAGCATATCATCACTCTTGTCATGCCACGTGTACACATTTCAAACTATTACATATATCGCATGTCATATTGCGTCATGTGTGTCTAGCCTATGATTATCGCACTTAACTCGGTGTCTATGAGCAACTTCCCACTCTTACTTATGAGCAACCCACACGCAGATGGTTCGATAATTCCTAGTTGGGACAGACGAAGAGAGTGTTTCATACAAAACAACGTCATAGATGGTTGCAATCAATCGAAGCCACACATACATGCTCCAGCAAGCGTAAAAGCAAGCATTTACTCATGCTTTTATGTCATTAATACGGATGTGGAGATAGTTTCATGATGCATCTCTATCAGAATCACATCTTTTTCTTATAAAGGAACTATATAATTATCTAATTTAAATTTCTAATAAAAAATAATTTTTTTTCTTTTGATTTGATTTTAGAGATGATGGTTTTTCATTATAATCATCATATTTACAGTACTTGAAAATCAAAGCCAACTCCTTCTATCTTGGTTCTTGTTGTTTGATCAAATAAATTCTACTTTTCACCATAGGGAAAAAATGTCAAGGTTATGCTCACTTTTCTTAATGTCAAAATTGATTACGTAAAGTTAAAATTCTCTCATCTATCACAAATCTGAAATCAAACACAAAAAAAGCTCACGAGGATTGTTAAGATTGTATCTGGAAATAAAATCAATCTACAAAATGAATTTGACTTTTCCCATATCTTAGACTATGACACCATATTATTTTTTCCCTCCACAATAATAGATAAAATGAGAATTAAAAACTAGATGTTCACTCGATGTTCCGATTGAACCTCTAATTTCTTCCTTTTCAGCTCCTTTAGTCCACACGGTAGATCATTTCTTGATCGCCTCCTGATTCTCTAAGATCATTTGGATGTCACCTTCACGAACGTTGTATTTCCGTCCATGTTTTTCTTACTGATAACAGATGGTTTTGCTTAGCTTTGAGATGAGTTTCTAAATTTTTGCAAATTATTCAGTTTCAAATTGCCTGTATTAGTGAGAGTCTACTGTAATGTTTATTTTCACTACTCTAAAATTATATAGCAAATCTGTTATTAATAGTTGAAATAATCTATTTATGATTTGATTGCTTAGTAAATCATTTTATAGCAAGATCTAGATTATTATATTCAAAGCCTAACGAAAAAATCTCAAATGCTACGTCAAATGACAATTCTTGACATGTTTATTTAATAAATATAGTAACCTATACTTTTAACAAAAATATGTTCACTTAAACGACTGAATATTTAAGCAAAAGAATAAGGTATATTGATCAACGTAACATACCTACAAAACTACATCTATAAAGTGCTTCGAATTAGATTTTATTCACTAAGTCCACAAGAAACACATTTTCTAAAATCTTCATAAACTCGTTATTGTACACGGTTATTTTAAAAATATCTAAAAAAATGTCAACCAAGGAAACTAAGTCATGTTTGACGCAACCCAAACTGCAAAATATAAGTCCGTCGATGCAAAGGACAGAAATTAGAGTGGTCGGCAAAATGTTGATGACAATTCAATGGAACCTTGGACAAACTCCAAGAGCGCTGTTACATGAAACTACCAATAATTATGTGTTGAGTGTTAGTAATTCATGTTCATGATAATTATTATTATGGGTTGGCAAAAACTGGGATACAAATTTTGAGGGACGAAATATCTGCTCTTGCGGTGTATATGGTATTCTTACGTATTTGTCGATTGCATCTTGCTTGACTTTGCTTTCTATCATTATTTGTTCATATATCATCTCTTTGATATAAATTGATAAAAAAATTTCAAAAAAAACAAACAATACCAAAAATACACAACGAACTCTACAGAGAGACAAAGTTTTGTTAGAAACTTTAGTTTTGTCTTGCAGAGAGCTTCTCCCACCTCTTTCATATAGGGCATACTAACGAGTTCAATTAACCATATTCAGACTAATTAGAGTTAACCGAGAATTGAATGATTTCCAAACATATCAACCTAAACATCTTGATCTCCATGAATATTTTTACATGGAAATATGCCGGAGGTACATTGTTTATGGACTTTGATGACTAGACTTTAATGTCCAAGGTCAATTGTGTCCTCAGATGAATATTTTGTATCAAATCAATGCAAAAAGCAAGTTAGTCACGTCATGAGTTTAAGACCGTGATTGTCACTAAACAAAAAATCAGGTATTTTCAACTTTCAATTATCTATATCAATGAAACTCGTATATATCCCACAACCTAGTATTAGTTAACTAGCTGCAATTATCACTATCATGATTTTATCATTACAACTTAATCAGAATAGATCACACGTTGATCCTAATTATATATTTACAGGAAGAACAAATTGGTCTTATGGAATTCTTTGGATGATCGCAATTCAATAAGGTCATCACAAGAGATAAATTTGTCTTTAGCTTCATTTCTACAATGTATTGCTCTATAAATTATTCAAAGTTTTAGTTAATTTTTTCTTTCTATTACAAGTCATCTTTCACATTCATTTTGAAATGTTTGATAAATATATAAACCTTAATCAAAAGGGTTTAAACCTCATGATAAAATTAATAACTTTGTCATCACAAACGGAAGTGATCTGTATCTTTTACTATTACTTACGTGTATTTGATATATAATGTCTTAATCTATGGAATTACATGTGAACTCAAACAAAAACAATACATCTGTAACGGTAAGTAACTTCTTGGTTTCACTTCATTTCGTTCCGTATATTCAGTTTGAAAAGTTAAGAAAATCTAAAATGGCATAAGTACATCTTAAGTACGTTTTCCAGCAACACGTTTTCATCTTCTCCTGCTATTACATTATGCTTGTAATTGTTTGACATTAAATATCTGACACCAAATATATATTATCTCCTTTATGTTGAAATACCTTCCACCTTTCTTACTCTACTCTAATGATTCGATTTCTGTACATATTTGCATCACCTAAATCAAATGTCACAGTTGCATTTGTTCATCCTCAAATTTCTTTGATCAGGGGAAATGCTTACATAGTCGAAGATCAATGTTTAGTTTCATGTCTTCTGGTTGATCAAATATTCGCGTTCAGTTATTGCTTTATGACCTGTTAGAATCTCCGTCACCAAAGGTATGATTCTCTGCATGCTCTTCGAAGCCTCTATCATCCACGCTTTCTAGATTAACTACTCCTCACATGGAGACATACTTGTCATTTGAACATAGAAATAACTTCTCAGTCGTTCATTTTAGCACTTCTAATTTGTGTGACTTAGACTGAATTCCTCAAAACCTAGGCCATGTGGATATCCTTGTACTCTACTTAGAATCTTTTTATGTCTTTCAAACTCCACTAAAAATCAAAAGCCTTGGAAGAATTCAAGATGATTTATCTTCACGATTCGGGCTTCCAGCGCCCTACCTAAGTCGTTACCTGCTATCTGGAATACCTTCTTCAAAGAGTGCAGTTTAAACTTCGCTGCAAACATTTTGGCCAAGGAGGAACGCAAGACAAAAACGTTTGGAACAACAACGTAAAACACCATAGCACTAGTGTCAACCAAAACCAAAGGATATCCAAGTGGCACAGAAGGACGTGCCTGGCAGGTGCTACATACTGAGAAGTGTTAACTACATAAAAGTGAACACATTTTGTAGCTTTCAGTCCCAGAGCCTCGAGAAACTTCTACCTGAGTCTCTTGAATGATGGATGCAGTACAGTGAATTGTTCTACAAAGGTATCACACCGTCAGATGATGCAGAATCTCCGACCTTCGTTCGAAATTTGATTCTCCACAATCATGAGTTCCCAGCCAAATACTCGCTACAGCCAGCCGCACTCTGTGGGCTGGCCTCATGCATCGGGAGAAGTAAACTTTAGGCAAACTTTGTTAATTCAGTGACTAATAACCTCACAGAATGTAAGAAGAACCTCGGTAGCCCGCAACAGAACTTCCAACACCCAAATGCATCGAGCGATCCCTGACGGCAGTCCTGACGAGAACTTTTCTTCACTGAGAAAATTCCGAAGGCCATCAACTTCACAGCAATACCCATAAGGTTACAACTATGCCGAATTTGGCAGCATGGGCTACGGTCCATGCAGCCAGACATGGTATAATTCACTGTATCATAAGCCACAGCCTAAAACCACTTTCCGAATAGAGAGCTGTATTGATTACGTTTGGCATGTTGAGTCGTGATAAGCCCAATCTTACATCGTTGGGTATATGAGCAAAGGTGAAACATGATGTACAGTTTGTAAGCAAAGGTGTCCTTGTAATTATTCCATGAAAGGAAGGCAGTCACGTAGAGATCAAAGATGCGCAAGTCAAACACGAACTCGCCCCACAAGCCAGCCTCTTACTCATATTAAATTATGACTACCTCAACTTACGAGATATCTCTAGAACAAGAAAAAGCAGGAAACCAAACATACACCCATAACAGCAGTCCAGCGTGTCAGTGGCATCGTAGAGCAAGTTTTCCTATCGTAAAACAAATCAGAACAAAGTGAACCACCTGATATCTCGACTTTACAGTACTTCAAAAGTTTTTATTAAGCATGGCGTGAAGTGACGTCGGCCTTGCAGAAACGGCCACCCTCCACTGTGCAACTTAACGAGTAAAGACTAATGCAACGTCTACACGATAAGAAAAACCTTGCAGACTCTTGTGAGATTTCCAAATAGTGAGCAGGTGCAGCAAGTAAGAAGCTGAAAGGGGAAACGGGTTATAACGGGCCAGCTATAAGAAACTCGGGAGCTTCAACACTTTCGACTCAAGAAGGAATGTCTGCGGAGTGGAGTCCATGTTCGCTCCCTCTGAACTACACAGCGTCCGGCCAGTGGTATCATCAGCGAAATTGTATCAAGACACTACCCTGTTGACTCTAATATTTATCTAAACAGATGTCCAGAGCTCTCTACACAAATCCATTTCCCGTCCGACCCTGATTCCTTAGTGAAGATAGCGGACTTCATGCTATACATGTCAAAGCTGGTAGGCTCTAAATGTTTGCGCTGTCATTTATTTTTGAACCACGGCGAACCAGGTCCGAGAACATTGATCTCATATACTGGAACAGAGACCGTCATTGCTCGCCTTAAACTTCAAGGATAATCATCCAACTGATCTGGTCAAAATTCCCAAAAAAAAAGCCTTAGATACAACAAAGTACAACATGAAGTATGCAAGCACATATAAAGACTCCTATTCACTATACAAAATAGAAAAGAAAAAAAAAACTGCCAGTAATTGAGGAGAGGACGCCGGACCTAATGCGGTAAAAACTACATGAGAATAACATCAATACAGAAACAAAAGTCTTGCTATCAGATTGTTGCTGAAAGCAAGGCTCTAAGGGAGACATTAATTCATCAAAGTTGAACCAGCTCTGAACCTCCTGTGCAAGCAGAGGTTCTGTAATAAAGGACAGCTGCTATTCACACACCTCGCAAAACTTCTTCCAGTGCAAAGAGGTGTGCAGTTACAGTATGAGCAACAACAAGTTCAACAAGTCCCTCGTAAGGTTATGGAAAGCTGCAAACTTTGAATAATAACTTTGAGCAAAGTTGGAGTAACCAACACTCCTTTTCAAAACATCAAAATTCTTTGGTGTGAGTTTGGCTACACACATGTACGAAAACAAAATTCTCAAGTTTTATTCAAGAAAATCGAATTGCCGGTAACTGAGGTAGCGATTACAGTATGACCAGATACGATCGTCCTCACATACGAGAATAGAACTCTGTAGAGAATACAAATAAGTTGAATTCAAATGTCAAAAACTTGAAAGTACAGAACTAACAATCTACGACGACGGTGAAACTTCCTTTGATTAACTCTGTAAAAGCTCACAGTTTTGTCAAGCCCGATAGTAACACGAGAGAACTGATTCAACCGACAAAATCTCTCACGTCTTCATGTGAATGTAAAGTGCCAGAAGTGCTGAGAAAGGAGAGGAATGAGAGACTTCCGTGACAGAGGAAAGGTAGTTGACACTCACCTTAGCTCGAAATCAAACAATCCCGGACCTCTCTCCATCCAAAAGCATCAGAGTCTGCCCCTGATTCTTACACAATTACGGAACTGAGGGATTTGGTGAATTATTACTGGTTGCACCAGTCGAAGATTTAACCGATGACCCTGATAGGCCTGGCGCCATTGAACTACCTCCTCCGCCACGAATCCGGGCCTCGGGTGTTCCTGTTAGCGTCTCTCCGCGTAAAGCTGCCTTGTACCTATCTTCAGTATCTTCCTTACGCTGAATTTCACCTAGCAGCTGTCCCAACCTCTCCTTATTCACCCGACCCATCACCAGAGAATCATCGCGGCCTCGTTTCAGGAGTTGCTTCTGCAGTTCCTCATCATTATAGCTCGTTGCGCTCATGGTCATCTGCCCCAGAGCTATCGGCAAAAATAGGCATAATCCAGAGAATGCGACCATGAACGACCTTGACGATCGTCCCGACGCCACGATCCACCGCCAAACCGGACTCTTCTCGTATAAGTAGGACATCGCGCCTACCCTGTCGCCCTCGAGGCTCTCGCCTTATTATCTAGCCTAAAATCTTACTTGATATAGTCGACACAACTCTCGTCACATGCCCCACGCAATCGGAACACCAAACCTCCAAACTAGTGCCGAGGAAACAAAGACTAAGCTCGTTCAAGACTGTTTCTGGAGTCCATGTATTTTTCAGAACTCTCGAAGTCATCAAATCACGACAAAAGCCCTAACCCTAGACTGGGTGTAAAACCTTGCTGGACTTCTGTAACCATTAGTCATTACCGCTTTCTAAGGAAGCAGATTCCGCACTTTGCACGGCCCCTCGGAGTTTGATGTTCAACTTTGAGCATTCATTGTCACAGGTGTGGAAGTGCAGATCTAGTTTGGCCCGTCGAGAGTCTTCGAGCTAGAGGACGCCAGTGAGATTGAGATTTGACAGGTGGAATCATGCTTGCACTTCATAAGGAGAAGAGCAATTTCAACTTCATCGGTAGACACTGCTTTGCGGCAAGTATATCGGATTAGTCTGTATGGAAGTGTTGCATTCAAAGTATGTGGCCTTAAGCAGATCGTACGGATTGAATCGAGATCCCGAGGGGTGAAGGAGGAAGGAAGTTGAGCGCTTGCATCCTGCACCAGGCGATTCTGGAAGGTGTTCAACGTTTTCCACCGAATGGAGTCTCAAGAACTCATATCACTTTTGCTTTAGAAAGTATTCGGGAAATCAAATGGCTGTGGAAAGCAGGTTGTGGAGGCCCGCAGCTCAGCGGAATGTCCGCAATGCCTGGAGTTACATTCAGGGCCACCGTTCATCATGGTCCTCTGCATCAGCTGCTGCTCTTTCGTCCGCCACTTCTCTCGTCAACGCATACCTTCTACACGGGTTCTCTGTCATCCCCCCTTGTCAGAATTTCTAATATCCATGGTTCAGTTCTGGTGAATGATCTTTGATGGGAAACAAGTTATGTCCTTTATAGCCAAAGTCTTCATGATCAGGAGGTAGCAGCGTCTAACTGAGTGTGATGTGTGTTGTGCTGACCAGCGATGTCGAAACAATGGAATTCGGGGTCTTAGCGGATATGGAAGATATCAAAGAGAAAGCTCGCAAGAAACTGCTCATAAATCAGGTCGATATATTTATTTATTTATATTTTTCAATAGAAACACACCTCCTGCAGAGCACAAATCTGCAGTTTTGCTTGCAGTGTGAATAGTTACTCTTTTTCTTTTTCTTTCTTTCTTTCTTTCTTTCTTTCTCTCTCTCTCTCTCTCTCTTTATTTATTTATAATTTTATATATATATATACCCATCCCAGGGCCTAAAACAAACTCAATCTACAATGCTTTTCTAATCTTCATTGCACAGGATGTGATGATATCTTAGGTGCAGGAGGACATGTTATTGCTATAATGCTTGGTGTAAGGAGTTTCAAAACTTCATGTACATTGAATATATATATATATATATATATATATATATTTATTTTGTGAAGTGATAGTTAGTTGTAATACTTACGCACAGCATAAGTATTACAACTAACACTTATGCACAGCTGGAATTTAACAAATTTACAAACTTTTCCTGTTGCTGGATGCAGAGGACATACCTCCGCCTTTATCTGAATAGCTATGAGGAGTTGGTGAGTTCTACATCCTGTCTGTAGATGCTGTTTGTAACATTTGTGTAATATAACATAAGATCACATGCTCGAGAAACATACAAAGCAATTCTATTCTCAAATGTTGTCATTTTATCGGAATACTCATGTAGTTTACGCTTTCAAACTGCACATTCATTTTACTCCATGTTGAATAGAACCGCATACTGCTCAAGAAACATACATCAGACCTATTTTTGGTTCTGAAACAGGTCCAGTTTGTTCTCCAAATGACAAGTGCTGCCAAATCTATGAAAACATATCTCAACTCTTCTGGTGGTCCTCTTATTAATTTCACAAACGTCGAAGCCATTGTGGACGGTGATTCTGGAGATGGTGGTGGCGTTCCTGTGTTCTCAAATCTTCCCATGGCTGCACATGGTGAGTTGAAGATATTTCTCTTTTGCCTCTGTTTTTTGGCAGCTTCTTTCGCCTCGGTTAAGTACAGTAAGGATTGACTGAATGCAAGAGACGTGCAAGGTGTCATCTTTCGTCTATAGTGGACAAAGGAAATAGCTGAAAATGGGTCACATCTCGACGAGGTGCCTCTCTTCCATGCAGTTACCTTCTGTGAGTTACCAAGTTTGGAGTATGATTAACCAGAATATTGTGTGCATAAGTAGTAAGCCACCATATAAAAGAATACTTTAACAATTATCTTGTTTCCTGCTCTAGCACTTTGACATAGAGAGCATATGGACGTCAGTAAAATTTCGTGTCTGAGCTTGCCTGCAGTTAGGTGTTAGTTTGATATAGAGGGACCAAAGAGGAACCCGGTTGCAGATGCTGAGATAGAACCTTCAACATGAAACTCTTATCGAAAGATTCACAAGCGACCATCACGATATACAAACGTGATTGCTTGATCCTATCTATCACCCACTCCATGTAAAAAGAATGTGGTATCATTCTTTTTCATGGAGTGGGTGATATACTGGAAGGCCTGTAAAGAAAATTACTGTGAGAAACTGAAGGATGGAATGTCTGGACTTATGTCCAGACATAACTATTTATGAGTGTGGAAAAGTAGCTGTATTTGAATGTTTTATCTTCTTGTCAGTGATCTGAAGTCAAAACTCCACCCACACATGAACCTAAACAAACGCGCAGATTATGCAAGAAGTACACTGATATTGATGTTGATCTGAATGTGTATCTCTGTGTTCAACAGAGACGAACGGTTTTGAGCTAATGTAGGTTCCAGCCCAAGAACCTACTAGATATCGGAAAATCTTTATGCTGCAGCCTACTGGAGAGAAAATTCATTGGTGGAGAAACACTATGTTGTTGTAGGATCTTCGTTCTTATTTGTAAGAATCATTACTAGGACCAGGAGCATCTAGCGTATTGTTCTAGGAGTTGAAGTTTCTTTCAATAACAAGAAATGTCGAAAACACGAGTGCTTGCTTGGCACATGATTTTGGTTGTTCTGTATATGCATTGCTCAGTCTTTGTTCTTCATAATGTTGGATCGTATACAATTCCGAAACATAACCCGACAAGTTGAGGTCATGTCCCTCTCATTCGCTATTCTTTTGAATGTGCACACTTACTACTATTTACGAGACTTTTCAATGTTGGGGTAGATTCACTCCCTCTTGTTTTTGCCCTGTTTTTCAACAACTAGATTCACTAAACTATGTACTCTATAAGCTACTAATATCCCTACACTCGATTACGGACACGCGCATGACGCCGTCAATGATTTTATACTTGTGTGTGCATTTGCAGAGTTACTTGCCTCGGAGATTGTTAGCATGTTTCAAAAGGAGCTGAAAGTCAAAGTAAGTGCTTTCCTGTTCAATGTGTTCCGTTCACATCTGAACATTCAGAGAGGTCCATAAACTTCTGATTGATCACTTTGGAGTACTTTCTGGCTCGAGGAGTTTCCCACTTGCTGTTCTTGAGGACATTAAACACTGGACATGTGCAGTGGCTACTCGCATCTGAGTTCTGCAAATTAGTTTATCCAACTCTCGAGGAAGTCTATTCAGTACAAAAGGAACTGTCCTCACCATTTGGTAGCGAAGACATGTCTTGTACAAGTATACTTTCTTCTACAGAACAGGAGAGCAAGGAGATTACTAAAGAAGGTGCTAACACCATGGGCCATGAGGTGAAGTCACCCAAAAGGGAGACTTTACAGGTACCAAACCATCCTAATATTATTAGACTGCTTGCACTATCGTTTCTGGCTTTCTCCTCTTGGCAAAATTTGTAAGAAAGAGCAAATATCAAGAACTTGTTTGATTAACAATCACTGGCACAGGTTTATTTGACTGCACTGCTTGCAGAGGTGTACATTATCAAAGATAGGTAAATTTTCTCTTTCCGACCTCTTTTGCTTGTGCCTCATTCGTAGTGCTTTTTGTGTTCCGTTCAAGACGTCCTTCTTATCTACTTCAACCCTCTCTATTGGGCTTGAATTCTAACTCAACTTTCCATGTCCATTTCAGAATTGAAGAGATCGGGAAGATATATAGTGAAGAAATGAGTGTCGGCCTCTTTGGTACTCCTTAATTAAGTAGTGGACAAAATTCTCTTTGAAATTCAGGAATAAGACGGTGATGTCCTTGTGCCACATCCTTAGTAGCGTTCTCATACCCTCTCTGTGTACGCAGAAGAGAAGCAAAAAATTAGTCAAAAAAACAAGTTAATTCAGTTTTTGTAAGAGCGTGCTTACACAATATTGTCCAATTTGCAATAAATTTGGAAAGTATTCCTATTCAACTGTCTTTACAGTTATAGATCCTTTACCTGCGATCACCTTATTCAGGAATGAGGAGCAGTTCTGAGACGTTTATGCGACTACGAGATGCGCACCTGTACAAGTGATGGCCACACAAGCAACAGCATTGTTGTCGATCAGAGTCACCAGCTCACACTTCCCTACACAAAGCTTTTGTACATGTGACGTGTCCCTAGAGTTGCATGTACCACAGCGCAAGACTTTCTCGCAGTCATCTTTCTTCATGCCTCGGGCACGCGGATCAGGTGTGACAGAAGTGGATGAAGGCGGGATTTTCCAACCAGACCCAACTACCCAGCATAATAAGGGAACCGAGAAGCATCTCTGGTACATGCGATCCATAGTCTTTACAATGATGGCTGGCAGCACAAACTCTGAAATCACCGGCAGTCTTAGCAACTTAGTGGGTTGAGGAAGTCAACGGGAACCAGACACGGTACAATATTTGTACTTGGCACGTGATTCCTTTATACAAGGTGTAAATACGGTTGAGTATGTGCCACCAAATTCTTCCCGGTATGGAAGCAGGGAGAAAACCCATGAGAAATAGTCATGTATTTGTACGTGACATTCCCACATTATTGTCCATGTCTTGCTACAGTGGGTAAATAGTTCAGTTTGGTTGGGTTCCTTGGTTCGCTCTCCTTCCGAGGTGTCCACCCTCTTTTCCTTCCGAGGTGTCCACCCTCTTTTCTTCCGCCGACCTGTACACATGTGGAAGTATATTCCAATCTGTTTGACTCCTACACATGATGGTAAGAGGAAGAGAGCTAGACGCGTTTTCGATATCATGTCGACCTGGAAATGTAATCGAGCACGGGATATTATCTAAAATATAATAAAAGACAAGCTTCTTTTTGGTTACCTATTGTAGATCTGGACACCCAGAGGACGTTCGGATAGATGAGCTCGTCCTATAGCAGAGTGTACGAGACACCGTAAGACACAAGAAACCCAAAGTGGACTGAAGGTACAATTGAGAATAAACAGTTAATTCTAGCGCAATACATAGATCTACATTAGTTGTGTGATGCTCCAATTGTCTCCAGACTGCATGGATTAAAATAATTTTCGATCTTTCGAACGTACTCCCACCTATATAAGGGCACTTAATAAACACATGAAGATCTTCTCTGGAAAAGTTTATGATGAATAGGTTCTGTGTATATACTTCAAGGTTGTATAGTGTATATACATCAAACTTCTTTGTTGTGATTGTGAAATTTGGAACATTTTGTTATCGCACATGGACGTGGTAAGAGAAAGGGGAGTTTGATTAAAGATCACACGTACCAAACTTCCGCAAGAAGCATCATAAGCTGAGGCTTACGATGTCTCAGCTTTGTATTTCGTTTATGTATATATTAATTTTGTATATGCATGCCTTTAGACTCAGACCAGGATACAACAAAGAGATTATGTACGCATGCGTGTCAGGTTGGCGTTAAGGTCACTCTTTTAAAGGAAGTATTCCACTCGGTGAGATTGGCGCTAGTGCTCTATATGGGAGCGGAATAACTTTTCAACATGAGAAGCAAACCCATGTAAATCACACGTAGGTCTGGGAAAATTGGGATAATTTACACTTCAAATCAAATCTTCACATTTCTTGTGATGACGTGCTCTGCAAGAAAATCGTAAGTCATACGGACCTTGTGCAATGAAAAACTTCAATACATAAATAAGTGAATCTATCATAACAAACTATACAGCTTAAAAAAGTTCACTAACACACTTCGCTCATCATTAAAACATAAAGCAAGATTACAATGGAACCCAATTACTTAAAACTTCAAATTCTCCCTCTAACTCCATTTGCTGATGTTATTAAAAATAAATATTGTCTTATAATATTTGATGCTTTCACAAACTATAATTTTAATTTCTCTTTTGAAAAATATTTAGAAAATTTATAACTATCTATCCAATATGAGTTATTTTATGATTCAAACATGAAGTATAATCAAAAACTAGTTTTTAATTGTATACAACTATATAAACTCTAATATATATCAAACGATCTTATATATGACGCAAATTATTTGTATCACATTTTTCTGAGTGTAAAGATATGAGGATTATCATAAGTTTGTTGTACTTATGATTTATAATGCAATTTTTAAAGCATATCCGAATACCAATACTTGATTCAATTAAAGTGACATATTCATTTGAAAGTTTGTTTACAATTATGTTTGATTTTTATTATCATGCTTGCCACTAATAACTTCTCAATTATTTTGAATTATTGGAATATCCTTAATTTTTTAACTTATGTTTATCGTTTGGTTATAACTGAAAAAATTTAAATCACTAAAAAACAACTGGTTTTATTCTTTTGGAAGTTTTCCTGAAAATATAATAACAAATAATTTCCCAGATCGCAGAGCTTGAGGATATTCATTTTTTAGCAGAAGGCCTATGGTCTGCTTAAATTGTACCAATGTGAGGACAATCGATGGTAGCTTATCAAGATCGTGAAGTGGATTTTTGTGAATAGTTTTATAATAATGATTATTTTCTCAAAAAATGATCTTAACATGCTAATCACAATAATTTATAATAACTTACATGTTCATATTTTATGTATTGTTGTAATTTTTCTATTCTTTAATCCAAAAGTTTGAGAAAAAGTTTCAAATTTTTTTATGAGTTAATGATATAAAAAATCTTAAGATAAATTAATATCATGCTATCATAATAATAGTATTTAATGCTACTATGATTTGAAAATTATAATATAAATATTCTATGTGATGATTAGAGTGATCAATAAGCTGCAAATGTTGAAAAAAAATTATGTAAAATATACAATTTGAATCTGAAACATACAAAAATTTGCAACTTTTATAGAATTTAATTTCTACAAATCATTCTATATTGAATGAAAAAATAAAAGTTTTATAATCATCTTAGTGATAGTTCATGGTGCAAATAATGACATCATTAAAATTGATTATCTTGAATTTTGTTTTCTATTATTCAAAACTACATGATCATACAATAATTAAAAAATTATTTTATGATTAACTTGTGTATTACATAATAATAGACTTATTATGCAAAAATTCCAAAAATTTTAGGATTATAATAATTATTACATGTCTGCAAAATTTATCATATTTAAATGTATCATAATTATTGCAAATATGTGTATTTTCTGTCAATAGAATTATATAAAAAAATTTCCAGTAAATTATTTTTTTGTTGTTATAGAAATAAATGTAATCTGCTTGAAATTTTTTCGAGTTTTGTTTGCTCTTAGGTGAGGTTTTAAAATTTGGTAAGAAAAGTCACAAGATATAATCTAGATTTTAAACATGTGGGATTCGTCAAATCCGATAACAACAACAAGTAAAGACTAAAACCTCAAATTCATCTTTTCATAATGATATTAAAAATTTATTAAATATGAAAATAAAAATTTTTGCAAAATTCACATCTTCAAACATTATCTTTAATTTTTTTAACAACCATAAACAAAATTTTTATGCAGATATTATGTAGATATCTTATAATTCACATAGGATGTAAAATAGGTATTTGAGCTTCAATAGATAGAATGAAAAATAAATATCAGAATAGAATTTAAAAAATATAATGTATTTATAATAAATTATCATTAAATGAAGTGAGTTTTAAAAAGCATGATAATTTATGTTTACATTTATAAAAACATATTTTTTTCTTTGAATTATATGTTGAGGTTAACTCCAGTTAAAGAGTAACCTCGAGCCTTAGCTATTTATAGCTAGAACAGTCGTCTGGAAAAAAATACCTCGACTTTCGTCATGTACTAAGTTTTGTGTGAGAAACCTAAAGTAAAGTGCAGAGTGTTCTCGTGAACATAGCACTCTTCCCAAGGTGAACCACGTTACATCGTGTCTCGACTTGGCTTGAATGTGTTGTTGTGTCTTTCTTGGATTTTACATGTACAATTGATATGAGAGCCAGTTTTTGGTTCGGATCTGTACTGATCGTTTTTTGTGTTTTGCTAAGGCAGGTGTTTTTTTTAATTGAACAGTTCAAGAGCACGCAAGCTTGTGTGATTTGCGTGCTTCTTAATTCTGAAGTGAATCGAGCTCCTTCCTAACTTCTCGTTGATGCAATTTAGCATCTGTTTTTCTTATTGTTATCTATTCTTATCTGTTGTTATTGTTTAATTGTTCTTTGAATACTGTACATTTTGCAACTTTCATGGGATTGCTTATCATACCTTTTTCATCTCAACGTTTTGAAAAAGCTGAACATAGATTCTCTAGCCTCTGGTTAGTCCGTGAATGTGAAAAAATAGATGTTCTTTCCAAGATTTGTTGGAAATTGCGGGACTTCGTTCCATTTATGCCTCTTGTGGTGTCAAATTTAGAAGAAATAAACTATTTTGTACTTTCCCTTGCGTCAACCAGTGGCATTAAGGCTTGCACTTTGGGAATTTCACTCTTCTATCAAATCGATTGGCTTTTGCTCAGCCAATCGATTTGAGCTCAGATATTGTCACATATTTTTTCATTGAGCCAAGGTATAATCGATGGATGAGTCGAATTGAGCCGTTTTTGAATCTGTTTTTTTCCCTAGCTCTTGTAGCTTGAAGGAATGAGCAATAAAACCAAGGCCGTTTATTTCAAAGCTCATTAGTCATCATGCTCAGAAAATTTTTCTTCACTCTTTTGAGTAGTCGGATGCTAATGGTTGAAATTTCTATTTGTTGTCAACATCTATTGATTTTACTACACTCAGTAGTATTTTTGTATCGGAGTTCATTATGGCTACTAGAAGTAGCAACTTAATATTACATGACTCCGCGCTTGTAGCTCAGAGCCCGCTGTTCATGTCAAATTTCGAGACATTAGATTGTAAAATCTACTATCCACAATCTTCTCCAACAAAAGATAAAAAAGATCTACCTCTTCTACAAGTTTTTGATCAATCTGGTCAATTCTGC